AAGAAGACTGCGGAAACTCGAGCGATTCATCACATCGGTGGCACGCGGAGAGGGAATTGAAGTAGAGTTAAATTCTCCCTGTATTCACGGCCGTCAATTTAAACCGGATTAAATTTAATAAATGTCGCTTCGCTATATATAGGATCCTGAAATCTGATTATCAATACACCATTCCTGAAATCTGCGGAATATGTTTATTGAAAGAGTTCGATAGAGAGATGAAAGGATATATTTAACCGTTGCTTAGTGTTCAAAGTGTTGATGAACAGAGACTAATCCAATTACTTGGAGCGTTCGGAACAACGATAGCCCTTGCTTCTTTCAGGTCAGCGTTCGATCCCCCAATGGTCCATGTGGCTAGATAGCGTTTCTTCTGTCTTCGTATCCCGGCTCCTTTTCCTTCACTCTTTTTCAAATGCTACACAAAGTGTAAGGACTTAAGTCTTTTCTCATTCTTAGCCACTTCACGGCCTGCCTTAATAACTCAATCGATAACGGTCTTCATTCCTAAAAAACACTTCATGCAGGTCGGTGTTCAATCCCCGACCGTCCACAAGTGGTTGGGCACCATTCCTTCCCCCCCGTCCTATCCCAAAGCCTTATCCTGGCCCCTTCCCAGTGCTATATAGTCGTAATGGCTTGGGACTCTCCCCTGATAATTCCCTCCCTCCTCAATCTCAGCATTTACTGTTATGAGTATAACATAACATACTAATCTTATACTCATATTATTAGTAAAACATTATTATGTATAACATATATTAGTTTTGGTGGACTATTATTTGGTTAACATTACAGCGCTCGGAATTCGTAGTCCTGAGGTCCCGGGCTCGATCCCCGGTGGAGGCGGAAACAAATGGGCAGCGTTTCTTTCACTCTGATGTTCCTGTTCACCTAGCAGTAAATAGGTACCTGGGAGTTATACAGCTGCTACGGGCTGCTTCCTGGGGGTGTGTAACAAAAAAGGAGGCCTGGTCGAGGACCGGGCCGCGGGGACGCTTAGCCCCGAAATCATCTCAAGATAACCCCAAGAGGAAGAAGATATCATAACACATAATTTATGCATCAAGGACATAAGAAAATTTTTTAATAACATGATAGCATACACATCATGGAAACTGCACAAGGCCTTTGACTATATGATATCCTGTGTGTTATAGTTTGTGTTGATATATTTAACTCATTATTAATAACAATTTCAATAATAGCTCATTTTGTCAGGGACAAGAAGCCTGAGTATATATATACTTTAAACTTGTGTCCAGTCGGAGCCGGTCGGCCGAGCGGACAGCACGCTGGACTTGTGATCCTGTGGTCCTGGGTTCGATCCCAGGCGCCGGCGAGAAACAATGGGCAGAGTTTCTTTCACCCTATCCCCCTGTTACCTAGCAGTAAATTAGGTGCCTGGGTGTTAGTCAGCTGTCACGGGCTGCTTCCTGGGGGTGGAGGCCTGGCCGAGGACCGGGCCGCGGGGACACTAAAAAAAAGCCCCGAAATCATCTCAAGATAACCTCAAGAAGATAGTCCCCCCCCCCCCCCCGCACCTAAAGGTCGAAATTTCTGACCCTCCCAGGATGCCACCCTACAACAGTTGCCTAGCTCCTGGGTGCCTAGTTGCTGCTAGGTGAACAGAGGGATTAGGTAAAAAGAAAACGTGCCCAACCATTTCTGTCCAGCTCAGGATCCAACCATTCAGGATCCACGATTTTAAGCCGAGAACGAAACCAACTCCACAACGAGGCACTAATATATTTACTGCTTGTTTCGGTAGTGTTATTAAGATTCGTGGAGATTGATTTCTTTACGAATTCCTTCATGGTGATCTTGAGGTGTCGTTAGGTAGTTAAGGTTCACTGTTGGGTCGTTAGCTAGTTTTTATCTCCTAGTGCTAAATTAGCATGCTTGGCTTTGTTTAATTATTGGCTTGTTTGATCTACTATTGGTATTTCTTTGTTTCTCATGTTTCAATTAACATTGTTTCATCAGTTTCAGTTTCATTTGTTTATCACCTGTTTCAGCTTTATTTGCTTTCACCTGTTTCACCTTCGTGTGTTTGTTTCACCTGTTTCATCTTCGTGTGTTTGTTTCACCTGTTTCATCTTCGTGTGTTTGTTTCACCTGCTTCATCTTCGTGTGTTTGTTTCACCTGTTTCATCTTCGTGTGCTTGTTTCACCTGTTTCATCTTTGTTTAACCTTTTTTTTCGGCTTCATTTGTTTCCTTCACCTGTCATGTCTTTATCTGTTATTCTCCTTTCTTGTCATCGTTTCACCTGACTGTTGTGGCCTGAGCCTGGCTGATGATTTCCAACCTTTACGAGTCTGATGATCTGGTCTGATGGTCTGGTTTAATTACATATTTGTAGAGTTAATATTATTTTATGTCAATTATTATCGAAATAATTGGGTAATATTATTATAATTAATTTTTCTATGTTTATAAATGCCATCATCACCAGCACCGTCAGTGTTGAAGTTTAATATTATAGTTATTAAAAGTAT